AAAGTAGACAATCCGCAGAAACACCTGGAAACTCTGGAGACGTATATCACATTCCGTATAACGACTAGAGTACGACTTTATTATCACAATATGATATCAATTTCTGATAATCTAAATAATAAAAATAATATAATATTAAATAATTCTGCAGACTACACGCCTAGAGTTTGAGGAAGGAGAATATGTAGTTCGCAGGCGATACAATGACTTCATTTGGCTGCGCCAGAAATTAGTGGATACTTATCCAACACACATTATACCAGTAAGTTTTCATTGTTATTTTTGATATATAAAATATATATGGCATATAAATTATAATTGAGATACATATGATACATAATTGAAATGATATACAAATCGAAGAGAGGCTAAAAAATTATAAATCTCGGGTTTTGTTACAGCCAATGCCAGGCAAGCATACGTTGCTCGCCCAATTGGACCGTTATTCCAAGGAATTTATCATAGCGCGTATGAAGCTTTTGCATATATTCCTAAACAGAGTCGTGAATCATCCAATTCTGAGTTGTGACAAGAATCTCCATATTTTTCTGACAACAAAACCTTCGGTAAGTATTGCTATAGCACTGTGTCAACTTTAAATCAATTACTGTTTAAATCAATTACAGGAATTTCTCGTTCATCGCAAAAATCGTGGGAACGTGCTCGGAAAAGTGACAGATTCTTTGCAAAATATAGCAAGTACTTATACGATGAAGCAACGTCACTTGGAGTTCGAACAGATTCGGGACTACTGTACAGCGTTGGGTGAAAAGCTGTCGGCCATAGATAAAATCAATCATCGCATACATAAAGAGAGGCAAGGTGCGCACAAAAATTGCTCATAAATACATATCGTACATGTAATAAAATAGTTCTCAGCTATTTCTCATGTTGTACATTGTAACGCAATAGATTATTTATTGGAGCTTCATCAACTGCATCCCATATTCACACTGTGGGCAACTTCAGAACCGGAACTCGCACCCATTTTATTAGCGATCGCTAAAGCGGTAGAAGCAAACGCAATGGCTCATCAGAAACTTTTGGAAAACGTTCCTAACGACGAACGCGAGTATGTTTCATACATTGAAGCGGTCAAGAATGCATTGTCCCGTCGTGATTCGATGCAGATTGAATATGAGATAACAATCGATGTATTGGCAAAAAGAAGATTAGAAAAGGATCAGGTACAAGCCTTGCTTATATCTCTTCCTCTTTTGTAACCTTATTTTAAGTTAGTTAAAAAGAAAACTTAATATATTTCTAAATATATCAATATAACGGCTTATAATTATTGATATACACTGTAATTATATATTTTTTAATCTAAGGAAATTAATAAATATTATTTACATTTTTATATTGCTAAGAAGTAGGCAGTTACTTGCATTTTATATTGCTATTTTATATTACTAGAAAGTAGGCAGTTAATTGCAATTAAATTTAATTGCATTCGTATAGTTGGTAGGAAATACGAGCTACACGATTCCAGCACAAGGCTGGGGCGGATCTCTATGGAAAGCGGAATCTCGCGATGAAAAATTGGAAAGACTCGGTCAAACTATTCCACGATTAGCCAAACAAGCGGAGATACTACAGGATCGCGTGGAGTGCGCGAATGAGAATCTGCGAAGCGATTTTCAGAGGTGGAACGTGGAGAAGCAGCAGGATCTGAAGAACATGCTGATCACGATGGCGGATCGACATATCAGACATTATCAACAGTGCATGAACGCGTGGGAGGAAATTCTTACCGGTCTTAAGTTGGACGGAATCGGATCTGACGTTAACGTAGGGCCGCCTGTTAAGATACCCGTTTGAACCGCTAGTCTTTTCGCTATTCAAAAGGACATAGAATAAATATTCGTTATATATACAAAGGTAATACACCAGTTTAAAAGAATCTCTATTAAATAATGACACAAAGTTTATTACAATCTATAAAACGATCTATCATCAGTTTCGATATCATTGCTTTTAAAATTGAATCGTCATTTCTCGAAAAAGAAAATTTATGCAGTACTTGCGACGTGACGCATGCATTTAATGACGATGAAAGTTGCATTTAATGCACATTATAATATGCTAATATCAAAACTCTAAAATTCTGCAAAAATTCGCCTTTATGATACAATAACCTTGTGATAACATGAAATATTAAGTATAACGCATTTGGTCCTACATGCATGCAGGACATGTTTCGGTGTATATCACGTACAAGAAAACAATTTTCTTATACATTTTGACGTTCTTTCTTCTTTAGAGGTTTAGATCATCAATTAGTTTTGGGGACCAAAATATATCAAGACAATTCGCGCCATTCCCTTCGCTCTCTCTTTCTTACTTTGAATCACATTACAATACATTTATTGACAATCAGTTTTGTCGTCTATATCTACTAGTTACCAAAGTACAATAGTTACCATGATAGCGTAGACAGCGTCAATGTATAGTATATAGCACTGATAAATTTTACAAATCGGAGCAAAACGCTTGCGAGAGCTTCGTTGTATCGTTAATTAGTATCTTTAATCTATGTCTCTAAGTTATAAACAAATCGCACCGCCCTGAATCGATTTTGCTTAGCAGCAAGTAAAAAAAAAAGATGTAGCAAGAGTCCTATATGGCTTACACATTCCTCTGTATATCTGTTATTTATGCTCGAAAAGGAAGATACTTTTTGCTGCTAACAGTATTGTTAACAATGCGGAGTACATTTCTCTACATTATATGCCGCGACTCGGCGAGTTGGCAAAAATGGCGGAATTTGTATCAATAAATAAATTATTGTTTGCAATGAAGTGCGATGGTTCCTGCATCTTTCCTTACTCCATTAAGGCGTCGTTTGTACGTTCTACGTAGTATTCTGGCGTTATGTAGAACTGCACCAGATTGTCCAGGTCGATGAGCTTGGTTATAGATTCGCCTGCAACGAACTCGATGTATACGTTTGTTCTCCAAAATATTATAATTCGATAAATTCAGAAGATACTGACCTGCCAAGCTCATCTCGTTATGAAGAAAACGCACTGTGTGCGCGTATGGTTGTTGAATCTTTTCCCGTAACTGTGTAGCCAAACGGCGGGTTGGATTCCATAACTGGCTACGAAAATTCGGTATATTTGTGATAGTCGGCTTCCAGGATTCAGGCTTTACTTCCTCCATTGGTAAGACATCCGTTATCCTGTATTGGCTCGTATCGATGTTCCATGTGAACTTACATCCGACTTCATACTGTTTCCTCTCTTGCGGAATACTGGATATATCATATCAATTTATTGAGATTGATTATTGTTTTATTTAAAATGTAATATATGCAAAATTAACGCAAAGGAATCAATATGATTCCTAAGATGGCATGTGTGCTTACCATTGTGTTTGGCTACATAACTCACTTGCTTGGATTTTCATTATATGCAAACATATAATATCGCCGCTAAGCGCGCATACATCAATTATTTCAATATCATAGTCGCTACAATGCCAATATTTTTTCTTGAATCTTGAGCAGATCCAATCTGCTATATGGTGAGAAAAAGTCTCGATATCGAAACTCAATTGTGTTATAGAAACGCATGGCACTATCTGAAAGTATTTCGTTACATCAGAAATACGTTCATATTTTATTTATAATTATTATTTTATTGATTATGTACGGGCTGTTCGACAATAAGTAACAGAAAATTTAAAAGTGATTTAAGGAAAAAAATTTGAAATACGAAGCGATCCGAGTGTTAAGATGTTGAACTACTTACTATATATACACTCATTTAAATTGAATTAATTTTCAGAAATAAATTACGAGCCGATGAAATTATCGGATTCACACAATCAATCTGAAACAAATCCCACAAAAATTTCCCAAATCTTAAAAACTGTAGTAAACTTATTGCGAAAAATATTGCCTCGGCCGGGAGTCGAACCCGGATCTCTTGCATTCCGTGCGAGCGTTCTAAGCCTTTAGACTACCGAGACTTCAATTTAAATGAGTATATATTATATAGTACAATAGTTCAACATCTTAACACTCGGACCGGTAAGGCGCTTCGTATTTCAAGTTTTAATATAAACGGTCTCGTTTCCAATCATATTGTAAGGAAAAAAGGCCTCCGCCGAAATTTTATTATTTTTTATTTTATAGTATTCTCTTTCTCTCTCTCTCTCTCTCTCTCTCTCTCTCTCTCTCTCTCTCTCTCTCTCTCTAAAAGTTTAATATTTACGTAAAAATGTTTAATGCATGTGAATGTTTAAACATTTATAATTAAAAAACGTATAATCCGCAATTTCATTTTTCTTGATTATAATATATATTTATATTTCAATCATTTAAAGAGATTCGTTTTGTACAAAATTACACATTGAGAAAGTTTAATTTTTTGAAATAATAAGTACTTACCAGTTTTTCCGCTTTACTATTGCTGATCATCTGCATTTGAACATATCCGGAACCATGCACGAGCATCGGAAGTACACACTGGTAACTTACATACCCCCCTGTTTCTTCATCTACAAGTATTGTCTCAATTTAATTTAATTTAATTTAATTTAATTTAGTTTATTGCAAAGCTATGGAAAAGATTACATGTTAACAGAGTAATAGACATAAAATATGATACAATAGGCTATAGTTAAGATAAACATAAATACAACAGATAATTGTAGCTTGCAAATGGTTAGGCGTCAGCAAAATTGCTGTTACAAAGCTTACCAGTAACAAAACAGAATAAGACATAAGAGGTAAACTAATAACTAAAATCACTCACACACACACACACACACACACACCCGCACACGCACACACACGCATACATCCACACGCATACACTTACTTACATACACACACGCGCATACACCCGCAACACACTCAATATAGCACTAGTTATAGTAAAAAATATTACAAGCAATAATCTGCAAAATCATACCTGCAAATTAATAATAACAAATCTACAAATTTTAATATATATACCTTCTACATCTGTGATCACCGATATCATCTCATCATCGAGTTCTATGTAGCTCCGTTTAAAACGCGCGGTGCATTTTATCAGAGGATACTGCAAGTTATTTCTAGGAACCAACGGCGAGAAATTCGAACAACATTTGCCAACGCGGTCTCTGTACACGCTTCCATTAGATAGCTGATTCTGATTCAATGGTCGTAAGACACTTTTTTCAGCTAGAAAATAAACGTATAAAGTTTGTGTCACTTTATTCGAATTCTCATTCCGTTTCGATAATAATCGTGAGATTATACCTGATTCGGTATTCGATAAGTCGTTAGCTATACTAATATCTTGAGCAAGATTCAATTCGTCCGATTCACTCTGATCCGAATCGATCCAATGCCTTCGGCCATTGGGTAGAACCGGCGACATCGCTGGGGAGGAGGGAATCTGATGTATGGAGCAGGTACCGCGATGTCTGAACTGATCGCGTATGTGCTTGAAAGGAACTATATTCTCTGCGTCCTCCGTCTCATCACAAAACTCGTACTTCTTGTCGGCAAGTCGGCGCTTCCTGAATGAACTTAGCTTTTCGCATGTCGTCTCCTGTGCCTCGTCTGTGAACTCATACGCTTTCTCCGCCTCGAGGATGAGTTTGTGCGTCGCTCTCGTCGTCCTCGTCGATTGAGCCGGGACGGGCGGAGGTGAATGGAGATTCGATCTTTTGCGAGGGCTCGGATGGCGAAAGGATCGGGCGATGGGCGGCGACATCAAACGAGACGAATATGAGGACGAGGGACTAATTGATACGGATTGCAACGGTGAGTTTATGGAAGCCACGGAGTTGTCTCGTTGCGACGCACCAGGTTGCGGCGAGCTCGGACGTTGCTGGCTGCTACTGCTATTGCGTTGGACCTGGATTCTGTGACTAGATTCCGAATTGCGAGTGCGAAGGATGTCTGACGGTGGAGTAAGAATCGATAACGACCACGTGGTCATCGCTCTGAGATCAGCGGGCAGTCTCTGCGGCGTCGAGCGCGGCGAGCACGACGGATGTTTCACTAACGTGATAAGATCGCTGCCGATATTGAGTTCCTGCGATGTGTCCTCGCAGAAATCCTGCAAGATCTTGTCCCGTACTGAGATAGCCGTTTGCTCGACGCCGACCGGCCGCGAGACAGGGCTGCTGCTGCTACTACTGCTGCTATTTCGGCACTTGCATTCAGTCATGTCCGAGCATTCGCACAACTTAACGTTTAAAGTGCCTGCAGCGGTAGACTTACTATTTATATCACAGACATAGTCGCTTTGATTATTGCTTGAGGTATTTAATAGCAAATCGTGTCCTAGCTTATCGTCTAATTTTATTGGCTCGTCTAGAAAGTCGTGCTCTATGCTGGATTCGCATTTGGGAGATCGATCGACGCATTCCGGCGTGCTCACTTTCTCATCCGAGCTCTCATATCGTTCTGTCCTTGTCGAGTAATCCGTCTCCTCGACATCGCTCATGTCCAGCGGGATCGTGTCCGGAACGACGGGATCATGCATAATATTATCCTGTTTATCGCACGCTCTCTGATTCTTCGACTTAGGTATATTTAAATCTACCCTGAGAACATGTAGGAAGTTTCCCGTATTGACCACCACGTGATTCCAATAATTCAGACATACTGTGGCTCGAAACTTCGGATACGGCGAGATGACTTCATAAGTCGTGTGAACCGTAAGGCCATGTTGTAAACAGTTACATCTTACACAGCTATCCCAATTCGCAGCTAATTCTAACAAAGTTAATTTCGATTAATACTATTGTAATGTTGCTAGTATATTTAATATATTATTTTTAAATACAATTCAAAAAACGAGACAAAAAAATGTATTTTCAAATTGCATTT